ACATCTGATTAGCAACTGTCTCCTTTTTACACTAAGAGAGTTGCAGTGAAAACACTTCTGCTGAGGGAAAAATGATGCGGGGCGAAGGACAAATTGCCAAGTGGCAGATCTCTAACTTCTAGGTAAAAAAACATAAACCAAGAACTAAGCCCCAGCAGGGGACCAACCTGTGGACAACAAGGGTACAAAGGAAGGAAGTTCCACCAGACTGTACATAGCTAGGTCATCTGTAGGTGTAGTCTCATTTCAACGCACTGTGCTAACCTTGAGGGCCCTAAAGGGTACACCAACAAGGGCAGCAAATCCGAATTAAGTAATTCCAAACCCTCTAAGTGATTAAGGTCTTTACTTCAATGATGTGGTCACTTAGCAGCAGGCACATAGCTGACCTCACCTGTGAAAGCTAGGCACACCCTGAGCGAGAGTGACGAAAAACCCCCACTTTTCACACATTGTGGTAGATTTTCCCAACTTGTGAAAGTCAGATACATTGTATTGATATCATTGAGCCAAGATTTGGCCTGCAGCCTCAACCAAATCTTGGATAGAGGCTGCAAGAACACTTGCAGGCTGAAGACATGCAGAACTTGCAGATGATGCCACAATGTAGCTTGTGTCTGCCTCCAGTAATTCCCAAAGACGTTCTTTCATAAGAGTAGAAGGAGAAATGGGCTGGAAGTGAAGAATTTAGCAAGATGACCTTTAGGCTGCATAAGCAATTGTCTCAGACCATCTTTAGAGAAATTACACCTTGGAAGAAGGTGAGTCACTTGCAAGTAGCCCTATCTGTTTTGGAAATAATGTATGTGTAGGCAAAATCAATAAACAGCAAAAGCAAAGGGAGATGATAGCAGGCTGTAACTTGATATCTGCTCAGTGGTTATTTTCTTAATGCAGAATTTTCTTCCCCTGCTTTACTCGTCCTACCATTTCATTTTACCTTGCACTTGTAGCTGCAGGATGTAAATGCACGGTAGTAGGCAGGATCAAGCCATGTAAGTATCACACTGATACTGTACCAGCTTCTTGAAAGTTTTTAAGACATCTCTGGTTTTATTTCACTTGCAGAACTGGACTGTTTCAGTTTTCTATTCTGTGTGTCTACTGAGATGATTTTCAGAAAACACCAGTTGCCATAGCAGGTCAGATCACAGGTACAGTAACTCTGCCATCCTCTACCTAAGCACCCTTCAGAGGAAGGCGGAGAAATATCACGGTTCTGCATTATTATACAGGGGTGAAAAAAAGATTCCTTTCTCCTGAAGGAATCATTATGTATCTTTTTGCATGAGGCTGTCCTTATCTTACAATTACAAATATTATTCTTTTTTAAGAAGGATATGCATGTTTATAAAAGCAAATTATAGAATATGACTTGCTCTGGGACACTGCATCCCACTTCAGTGAGATTACTAGCATTTTATGATCACCCAGTGTGCGTGGATGTGTATGAATAACGGCCTCTACTTTGTTGGACCAAAGGGGTAAGTTGCATAGTCGAAACAGTATGACAGTACTGCCTTGAGTCTGTGTTCCTCTCACATTAGTTTGACCCAATTGACTGGTGGAAAAAGCAGTATTCACTATTTTGGAAAATATCCTCTTAGCTGTGGGAAGGGTGTTGTGAGGAGAGAAGGAAGAATATAAGAAGTAAACAGGGGGGTCATGAAATGTTTGCAGAAAGGATAAAGGATATATAGTATCAAAAGAGCATGGTAAACAACTCAAAGGTTTAGAGAAAAATAAAATGATAGAATGACCAAAGCAAATTAACTCTGTCATGTAAGTCAGGCGCTTGAACAGAAACTGCCCAAAAGACTTCATTTAATGTTGTGTAAGAAAGGTTATTTCTGTTTTAATTTAATTTTTCACAAATATCTTAATTTTTTAACACAAACTTCAGAGTATTTGGCTTACTGGCTTATTCTGTAATCAATTTTACAGAAAAAAATTATGTACTAGTTAAAAAAAAAGACAGTGTTCTATCTTTTCTGTTGCCGCTTAAATACTGATGCAGGAAATCACTTGCCTATTCTCAATCTTATTTGATAGAACAAAACCCCTAAGCAATAAAACTGAGGTCCAAAAAAAACATTTAGCTTGAAAAAAGGTTGAAAAATGTACCCTTGGAAAGACCACTGCTTACATGGGATTGTTCAACAAATTCCTGTTGTGTGAGGTTTGGCATACACTTTCTAAAAATATAAGCATCTGGGGAAACCAGACAAAGCCCAGGTCTTGGACCAAACGAGGCATGCAGCGTGAATCTGTTAGCGATTATATCCATAATGAAATATGTGCCCAAATTTAGCAGTACAAAACCCCCAATACAATATGAAAACACAGCGTGTACAGCCCTTACCATAAAATATAGCCAACCGCGAAGGTGCACACTGCAGCCAGTCCACAGCTCCTGCTGGGATACTGATGATGTGTTGTTCTCATCTCGATTAATACAAAGGGCAAAACTGTCGTATGCTGAAAAAAACAAAACACCGGGGGGGGGGGAAACCAGGTGATACAAATGATTCTCACTGCATTTCCATGCTAGTTCTACAATAAGAAACTTAATCACAAAAACCTGAAGACAATTTCTTCATGGTCTAGAAAGGCAAGGTAAAATGACTCTACAAAGTCGATCAATGACCCAAACAATATTGTTGCTACAATGTCCAATTGTTTGAGAGAGCAGAGGAAAACTGAGTGAGCAGAATGCGCTTTTCCTGCTGGCCAGGAATGCAAGTGAGTACTCTGTGAGTGAAAATGGGATGTGGCATGAGGGGCGTGGGTCCCAGCCCCAGTATGGCCTTGCAAATGCTCTGTGATCTTCGCCACATCACGTTATTTTGACCACTCAAGTTAGTAGGCAATGCATCGGATTTTAGAATCATAGAATCATATTTTCAGGGATTCTAGGCACAAACAATGCCAAATGAATCAGTATAAATGGAGGTATTTAATGCTTCTGAGAATTAGTTTAAAATGTATCTCAATCTGGGGACTTGAAAACAGGGGACATATTTTCAAATGATAGCCTCAATACCTTTGCTCCTCCATCTGTAAGAGAGGAACAATTATCTTCTTCGGAAAGGTGTTGTGAATCTTAATTTGTTCGTTGTTGTGCAAAATGGTTTTAATTCCCAAATGAAACATATGAAAGCTAAAGCTGTAAAAGCCACTTTCAGCCACTTGTCTTTATTTAGCTGTGAAAGTCCTTATTTTGTCATTTTTCCATACATGTTTCCTACACTGCCCCTTCTGAGAAGGTCTGTTCATCCAATTAACGTCAGCAGCATGAAAAATTGCATCTAGCCTGCCCCCAACACTCAATGTCTGGATTTCAGAGTGCTGGCAGGCATGAAAATATACATAAGCACAAACATGCCAGCAAATAAACCCCGTCATTTCTGAATACATAGCTCACCTAGGACCAGCATTACTGGCGACTCCAGAAACATACCCTGCCTTGCCACCATGGGGCCAAGTTATTGCTGGTGTATAGAGGGAATTACTTTGGTTGAGAGCTTCGCCCTAGAGCTTGGTGTGACTGTGACTATGAACTCTCCTGCTCAGATCACTGGGAGGTCTGCAGGTGTGAGGACTCCAAGGGCAGCCTAAGCCATAAACCAGGTTCAGCCCTTCCCTAGTACTTGCTCACCAACTGGAAAAGAAGGTTATGGCTTATGCTGGCCATGTCCTGCCATCAGATGCACACAGGTAGTTCTGGGGGGAGCTGGAGGGCCAAACTAGTAATAATTACTCTGTAAACCCACATCAATTTTCACCAACATGAAGGCAGGACAGGCATGGGAGTAGAAACATCCTTGCGTGGATAACAGGTCGAAATCAGGGGAAACAGAGCAGGGTCCAAGCCTTTGACAGCTGTGGAGAAGGAAGAATTGTTTGGGAAATGATAAGATAATGGAAATGCTCTGGCTCAGAGATGTAACATAATTTGAATTGGATAACTGCTCTGAATTTCAAGGCATTAGTAATTAATGACTAGCATTTGGATAATGTCAGGTGGATAATACAGCAGTTAGGGGAGCTTTCAATTTCTTCATCTTTAAACAACTTGTTCCGCCCCCATCCCTTTAAACAGTACAAATCAGCATCAAGGGAACGCAAAGATGTTTTACATGTGGTCTGCGATAGAGGTGCCCACTATTAGATGACAGGTCTATAAACTGCGCAGGACCTTCAGAGTCCATTAACAGGGACTGACAGCAAAGCAAGCCCTGGAGGTTCACCTAGACATCTGGCATCTGTATGGAAAAGGTCTTCAGACAGAGATCAGTACCTCACTCTGCACAGCCCCCAAAGCAGGGCAGCTGGAGGCTGTGCAAATGTCTCCTGCCCTGCCTCCATAACCTCTTCAGAGAAAAAAAACAGAAGGCAACAAAAATGATTAACTCCAAACCCCACCCTTGACATTCCTTGTACGATGAATTCTTGCGGTCCAGTGACATAGTCTTCACCGTACACATGATGGTTACAGAGCTTGTGAACTCCGTTTCTCAATTGGAATGTTTACCGCTTTAGAAACCGCTTGTTGATGCGCTCTTCATTTATGATAACAACTCAACAGCTTGCCAATTAAAAAGTAGTTAAAATAATTTCAGCAATCAACCCTTAATCTAGAGTCTTCTTCTCCTTTCCCTCCTCCCGATTCCTGTGGTTATAAAATAGGTCGTTATTTTCCTAAGTTCTCCCTTCTGCTCTTCTGTAAAGGTAAGGGAGGGAAAAAGGGGACAATGAGCTGTATCGCTAAAGAGTTTGTGTACAAAATCCTGTCAAAAGCACAGTGCAATTAAAAGTCTAAGGAGAAAATCAGAGACTTGTGTCTTTAATCTTAGTCTGTTATAGCAAATGTTGATGCTACCTGCAAACACTGCAGTTTCACAGATCCAGAGTATGACCTCCGGTTTAAAACGTTCTAGTGAAACTGCCACTCAAAAAAGCTGTTTCAGATGCTTTACCCAAACCACAACCAAGATAAAATGTCCCTTTCCTACATTTCAGCCCCTCCAAAAACTTTAATTTAAAAAACATGAAATTTTGTAGGCAGGGATACCTTCTGTCAAGCAGTGCCAACTAAAACTCTAGACCAGTTTTGAATCTGACTGGCACCTGGACTGAAGCCTAGTGAAGGTGAGCAGGGGTCAAATGTGCTTGGAGTGGAACCCACCAGGGCTGGGAAAGCTGCAGGAGGCCAGAAATTTCATACCCTCTAATGTTTATGCCATCTGATTTCTGGATAAACTCATGGCATCGGGAATCTGAGGCTTAGAGAGAAAACACCATTGACACTTCCTTGACCTGTTTGTTAAAGATAATGCCATGCCAGTCATAGATGACTGACTGGTACCTCTGGGACTGATCCCTTTTACTTACTGGCAGGCTGGAGGACAGCACAACATTTCTCACCTTGTTTGTCAAAGTATCTCAGGGGCTTACCTGAAAGAAGACTAAGGAACAAGGCAGTTCAAATAACAAGGAGGTTTAAATGGTGAGGGTGATTAGCTGCTGTAACAGCTTTCCCATAGTTGTCATTTTGCACCATTTACAGTCTTTAAGAAAAGGGAATATTTACAATTAGAGTATAATGACTAGTATAGTATTGCAATAGTAGCAAACTATGCTAGCACTAGTAATCAATGCTATATTGATAATGCATTTTCATTGTGGACTAAGCATTTACAAGCAAAGCCGCATTTCTACTTGGACAGCTTATTCTGCTCCCGCTGAGACCAGCTGCTCCTGGGAGACAGTTTTGCCTGTATGACTGTGCTGGCACCAGAGACGTGGGCTGAGCAACCTTGTGGGTACATCAGGGAGCACCCTGTCCGTCAGCTGGGAAGGTGACACTCGCTGTACGTGTGCCCTGTGGTGACCACAGGCTCAGGGCAGCCTCCAGCCCTGCCCGGGTAGCAGTGAGGGAGCTAACGAACCCTATCGTTAGCAGAAGCTCTTAGCTTGGGCTCAGTAACCACAGATATCTGCAAGAAAATGCACCCTGCCAGCTTCTCCCACTGCGACCATGGTGCTATCTGCCAAGGTGCCCACCCAGCCATAAACCCCTTTTTCTCCCTCCGGCCCATTTTTGACCCCTCTCTGAAGGATCCATCTGCCAAGACCGCCTTGCCAGTCTAAGCATGGCTGTAAGCCCCCCTTACCCAGCCACAGTGTAGCCCTGCTCAGACCCCGCGTGCCCTGTCACTGCCTGTCCCCTGCAGCTTTGACAGATCTTTACGCTTGCTAGACCTGCTAGCAAGTGCTGGTCTTTGCAGGGCAGCAAGCTGCAATTTCCTCCCCATTTTGTGTCCACCACACAGCTCTGCTTCCCGAGGTCTCATCACCTACAAGTGGGCAAGAGATTTGGCTTGCCACATCTTCAACTGCTGGTAATGATCCATGAAAACAGCAAGAAACAATCTCAACACGTGGAGCCCGGGTGGAATTTGCAGGAAGGTTATCATATGGACAATTTGATCCAGAAAATCCTCCAGAGACTGACTCCAAAGGAGCAACATCCGAGAGAAGCTGAATTAGCACACACTGCAAAAAAAGCCACCTCGAGAGCTGCAGGTGGATTAATTCCTAGAACTACTGCCACTGCTTCCTGACAGAAGTTAATTAATAAATTTTTAAAAGATATTGCTAAAATACGTACCACCCCCCACACGGTATATATGTGCCTAAGACATCTGAGAATGGAAAAGCACATTACAAACAGGCAGCACATCTGTAGTGTTGGCTTGGCAGGTTGAGCTTTGATGGAGGACTGTGCTTCCCCATTTTAGGTGTGTGCTGCAACAGGTAGTTGGAAAAAAAGGTTTTATGCAAATCAGGTACATTAAGAAAGAGTTTTGTAATGGTCTTTAGGCAAATGAAGTGCTCATTCTTGAAAGCCTAATTATGTATTTTATCTTCCAACTAGTAAGTGCTGCTTTTTTTAACACTGTTTTCATCAATAGCTTGCTTGGCCCTTTCTCCTCCCTTAACTGTGTTTTAAAGGGAATGTTAAAGCTTTTCAAAAGGTGCTAAACTGACAGCTTTGTGTATTGGTATCTTCTATCCTTAGCACAAACAGGGCAGTGCAATCTCCCCAAGTCACCCAAGTCCTGATCTGCAGACACTGTCCAGAACTACCTTCACAACAAGGAGTTCAGCCTAAAAAAGCATCTGCTTTCTCAGCTGCCCAGTCGGTACGCAGAAGTTCTGCAGGGATGGTGAAACCATTTGGGGATCACGTAAATTGTGATTATAATTCACTTCAACCAACAGAAGACTGCGACTTGTTACTCAGTCTGATCAGACTAAAACCAACAGGGTACAGGACATTTTAGTTCGATGGAAATACTGCGGACCTCTATCGAGAGGGCTTCAGCGTGACATTCAGCCCATGGTCTTAAGGGTCAGCAAAAGACCAGCGACAAGAAAGGAGGCCTTGCAGCTCTGTTTTCACCAACATTTTA